CTATTTTATAGAAATACATCTATCACACTCACACTGATTAATACACACATACATATACAAATGCATATAACTTTTTAAATGAAGTAATGTTTGCTTCATCTTGGCAAATTCTTAAATATCCAACTACTGTAGCTTATTTCTGACATATAGGATTTGATTTACTCTCACTCTCAGATAGGTGCATAACTTCATTGCCTGGTGAAAGAAATAGTTTATATTGTGGATTATCTGTTAAAACGTTACAAAAAACTTTACAAAATATTTGAGAATAACAACATATGCTCACTTACTATTATAGGAATAGTTTTATGTTATATATTGTTCCATTCATACTAACAGACATAAATCCTGAAAATATAATATGCTGAATGCAGTTGAACTTGAAATGTTCGACTTTAACAGTCCATTACATTTTATTATAGCAACTCAATTCTGCACACAACATAATGTACTGAATGATTAATAACCAAAAAGATAAGATGTTACAGTGAACAAACATTGCAAACTACGTTTGATAATATATTTATAACAAAACTCCTCTTAATATTAGTTTTATAAGTCTGTGTAGAATGTGAACTAACAAGAACAGTATTGAGAGCATATGCAACTAATGGGAATATATTACATGGTGCTCAGTCAGTAATACAGAAAAGGACACCAATGGAACACCATACCACAACAACAAAAACTAGTAATCCAACCTAAATAGCACCAGGCAGCTTCAAATACAGTCATGAATGGCCAGGTAGCACTATGGAGGTCAATAAAGAGAAAGAAAGCAATTCATTCAAAATCACGGCATTAATTTTAAGGAACAGCAGAGAAGAAGGGAAAATGGACTGAGAGAGATTGGATCTTAAGGAACTAAATTATATAAATGGCATGTGATGTAATGTCTTTCTAGATTGTAATTGGATTTAATCTTTCAATAATAGAGCCAAATTAATGCCTGGTGTAACTCCACTGAAATCAATAATGTTATACCACAGCAGAACATGGTCCTTGGTAAAAAATTACTTATACAATAAAATATTTTTGGAAAAATATTGGCCCAAGTCTAATGGAAGACAATCTTTGCCCAATATTTTATGTTAGATGCCATATGAATGGTTGTTTAATAAGCTGTAACCACAAATTAACTGTAGGTAGGTCAGATTAATTTCAGTGATGTAATATGGTCTTCCCAGCTCAAAACACAAGTTCAATAAATCATTTTTGTACAAACATTGAACTCTACTGAGCCCAACAATTTAGAGGCCAAGGCAGGTATAGTAGCCAAAGGAGATTCAGTTATCTCACTATCCACTGCTTGCCAGGCTCTGTAGCGCCTAAGAGATATTCCATGAATGGAAAGCAGAGCCCTGGGGATTTTAGAGCACTGAGGCAAGCCAAGAGGTGAATTAGCATACCTGTTACAAGCAATATACCTCACGCCACAATGCAGCTAAGGCAATTTACACCAGGTGAAGATCTGGCCCTATTTGTTCTATATAATTAAAAGGATTGAGCAACCTAATTTCTTCTAGAAACAGAAGCCAAGTTTCAGAGTAGCAGCCGTGTTAGTCTGTATTCGCAAAAAGAAAAGGAGTACTTGTGGCACCTTAGAGACTAACCAATTTATTTGAGCATGAGCTTTCGTGAGCTACAGCTCACTTCATCAGATGTATTCGCAAAAAGAAAAGGAAGCCAAGTTGGCTCCTATAACAGCTTGTAGCTATTCAGAGGGAGGGGAGCTGCCATAGAGTTCTAACCCATATTTCTTTCTGATCCTAAAGAAAAACCACAATGCTAATGAAAAGATGTAGAAATTAATCCAATAAAATGGATCACATTTTTTAAACCTACAATGCTTCTATGTTGTTTAGAGCTGTAGCACACTATCAAACAAAGCATGAGTAAGAGTCTGCTCTATACCTCTTAGACATAGTACAAAACTTGCAGCCCTTGTGGATGGGAAGTTAAAGTGGCTTTTATTCTCCTTTCCATCTTCCCAATTCAGGACTGCTGAAGGGGTCAGTGTGGCTCCTGGAGTGACTCAGACTTCTGCTGAGTGCTTACAGGGTATTCAGATATCCGTCCAATTTTCAAATCATAGGTATTTGGGGTTTTTTGGATGCTCCATCAGTTGATTTGTCATTTGCATCTACTCATTCTTCCAGGCCATCTCCATCAAAAGCAGACATTGATCAACTGAAAAAAAATACTTGCAGTGACTCCAGAATATTTCTTAGCCCCAAAGTTCAATCCTGTTCCTGTTGAAGTCAAGGGAAAAACACAAATTGACTTCAGTGGGAGAAGGACCAAGCACTAACAGCATTTGTGACTGCTCACTAGCAATAGAAGGATATTTTCATGCTTCTGTTGCTCATTGTTTTAGTCACTGCACTAACAATTTCCTTTCCTGCTGTCACCGTTAAGGGTTATTTATGGATTAATGATACATGGACACAGCCTTGAACACTGCAATCTGTGGGGACAAAATTCTCATAACTCACAAGTGCAATGTCCTAGCCCTAAATTCTGAAATTGATCTAATCAAATCCACTGGATCGTGTTATTCTGGTGGTACTGGCTAGCAGAGCAGTAAAGAAGAACCATTTCAGTGGCTAAGGACAGGGTGCCAGGATGGGAAGAAAGAACTCTATTGTGGTGTGGGGCAGACAGGCAGATGCAGAGGGGAGTTGAGGAAAGGTTGTGGGTAGAGGGGATAAAACTGAAGGGCAAGAGCATCCTTTGCAATTAATGGATCCCGAACTGCAACGAATGTTTTAGATAAGCTTACAGGAAATATTTTAACTGATGTGACTGTAAATTCCATGCAACATCTCTCTCTCTCACGGTCTCCGTTATCACTAGAAATCTTTGATACATTTATGGCACGGTACAATAAGCACTATCAGTACCTATAAGGTCTTTGGGATAGCGACCATCTTGTAAATGTTTATACAATAGATAATACAATGTGGCCCTAATCCAGATTGATGCTCTGACCAATATTGTAATATAAATAATAATTAAGGATAATAATTGCACAGGCATCATAGCTATTTTAATATTTCAGATTTGGGTATCATGATTTAGCCATCATGAGTAAGCCTGTTACAAATGTATGTTTACTAAGTAAGACTTTATATCCAGATATCAAAAGAGAGCCATAATCAAAATGGTCTTGTTCAAATACAAGCTGGAAGTCAGGAAATCCAGCCTTTTTCCAAACTTTCCCACAAGTTTCTCAGCAATTTTGGCCCCAATCCCCAAGCTGTTGGGTGCCTCAACTGGCAGGTTTGAGCACCTTCGATTCCCATCTACGTCCATTAGAGCTAAATGTCCCCAGAAGGAGCTAAGTGCCCTTACCACCTTGCTGCATCAAGCTCTTAATTTGAGCCTCAGTTTCTCCATCTAATAAAGTGCAGATACTAGTACTTGCTTACCTTGCAGGTCTCTGACCCATGATGGAAATGCCACCACATCTACAACTTCATTCTTGATGTTTTTCAGGAAATCAGTAGCACGTTGGAAGGCAGTGTATTCTTTCACACAAGGTATTATTGTATGTGCGTTTTATTCTGAGAAAAACTTCTGAATATTCCCTAAGCAGCAGAAATAGAGAGCCTCTCCACTGGAGTGTGGATAGTGAATAGATTGCTCTGCTCTGCACCCCTGCTTTGGACAGATTTTCCACCCTTGGGAGCTGCTGCAGTAATTTGGACAGAGATGTGACAAACATAACCAGCTAGACTTAATTGTGACCCAGCCCAGCAAAATATTCAAACTTCAATTAATTATTTGTTAAGAATGCAAAATTCTTAGAAAAAAATTAAAATTAAAAGGCAAGCTAAGCTAAGGCAGAGTATGATTTCACTCCAGCACTCTAAATAACGGAAAAAGACAAGTCTAGTGCTAACTATTCATATAACTTCAGATCAAAGGACTATTTGAAACCAAATCATACAGTATAGTAAAAGAAACCCTTTCATTGAAATGACCACACAAAAGACTTGTTAACTTGTCAGGGTTAACTTGACTTGGAAAATATTTAACAACTACCACCACTCTTATTTTCTCCAATTTACAACAAGCTTTATCAGCATAAAACCCTTGTTGTGAAATATACACAACGCTACACACTATGCTACTCTGTTAGAGTCAAAATCACCATTTTCCCACCCACTCTTCGCCACCTCCCCCTATCAGACAAAGCCAAAGTAACTGGGCTTTGTGCAGGCAATGCCATGGAAAGTGAGACAAAATTCATTCCCCTTAGTCCCAGCAAATACAGTGTCGATGGGCTAGATTATTATTAGAATTAGACAAAAAATAAAAAGGGACCTATCAAATGCTCTAGGCATCAGACTGCCATTGACTTCAGTGGGGTCAGGATTTCATCCCAGGTTCTCAGGATTCAGGGTTTGAGGTCTCAGACTGCCAGCCGCTGAGCAGATGTCCACATTACAAATGCTACTCTCAATAAAGGTACACTTATTGACATTCAAGGTAAAAAAGGCCAAGAATACAATGAGCGTTGAGCATTAACTATACTCCGACCCTTCGAGGTCTTTCCTCCAGAGCTGGGTAAAGGCACATTGGGAGGACAGTGGGAAGATCATGCTACTGTATGCGCTCTCTCTCTCTCTCTCTTATGAAAAAATAAGTTGTCCCATGCTTTCAACCTAGATTTTCTCCTCAGGGCTAAATTTACTTACAAATATTAGGTGGAAAAGAGAGAATGTGTTGCTATAGGTTCATAATGATGGCCTGAGCTGCTGCTGCCATAAAGCAATGGTTTATCTTTTTAAAATATACATATTCTTCAGGTACTGAAGATGAGCTATTACAGAATAGCCTCTGGTTTCTGAATTGTTTTTACTGATTAAAACAAGTTGGATTTTACTCAGAGCTCTGAACTGTAAATTCAATAGATTTAATTCATGCTTTCATTTTATTTCAAAAGCTTTTGGTCTCACTTTCCCCTTTAGGCAGAGATCATGGAAAGATGCTGAATGCTACATGCATTACTTTCTTCTGCAACACCTATAGTAAACTGGAGTGGTACTGTTATTTTCTGATTATGGTTTGCCTTTTTGCTTTATTACTGGGATTTCTGGGAAATATCTTTGCAATACTACATTATGCATACAGCATAAAGTCATGGACTAGTAGCACTATATTTCTGTTCAATCTGGCACTGTGTGACTTTACTTGGATTCTCATGGTTCCTTTTTCAGTTTACTATAATCTACAGAAGTTAGCCATATACTCCAGTCAGACATTTTGCCAGTTTAAAAGAATATTCTTCAATATTAATATCTACGGAAGTATCTATTTTCTGACACTCATCAGCTTTGATCGGTATGTAGGTGCTGTCCATCCTATCAGTTCATTAAAGTGGTGGGACAAAAACAAGGCTACATTTTGTACCATTGCAATATGGATCTTCATTTTCATTGAATCAGTTCCTGATTTTTACTATACGTTTGCAGTTGGAAGACGAAATGACACTGTAGCTTGCCTGGAATACATTGGAGAACCTTTACACTTCGTAGTGCCATTCACAATCTCCAGAGTTGTATTTGGATTCCTAATTCCAGCCACAGTCATATTTACCTGCTATATGTTGACTCTTAAGGCATTACAACAACTGAAGAAGCGTCAACAGAGAAGAAATAGAATTGCTAAACCTCTGATGTTGATTTCTGTGGCAATGATTGTTTTTGCTATTGCATTCATTCCGTATCATGTCATGATGATAGCAGTATTAATTTACAGATTGAATTACCAACTAAACTCTGACAATATAAGCATGATATTTACCATTTATGAACTCACTGAAATCATCTGCAGTATTAGCAGTTGCTTAGACCCTATCATTTTTATATTGGTAAGTAAGAATTTCCATCAAAGATTTCAAATGATAAAATGTCCTGCTAATTCTGGGTGTCACTGCTGCCATTCACGGAAGGTCAGGGATATCACTGTGGCCCAGCAGAGAATGCGGAATTAAACTGCAATCCACAAAACACCCCACGTGTTTCTCATGAGCCGGTTAGTTTCAGTGTCATGCACTTTTTAATTTCTTTTTTTCAGCATGGTTACAACAATCTCTTGGGAAAGCAAAAATATTGAGAAGCCATCTGGGAAATTAGAATTGCCAGATGGATCCACTGAAAAAGAAGAACAGGCTTTTGGGGTTTTTTTGGCCATACCGTTGACAGTTTAAATATTATTATACATTGGAGTATGTAACACCAACAGACCCCGGTCATCAGCGAGTGGGATCAAACCGAGGACCTCTGGAGCTTAGTGCATGAACCTCTACAGCATAAGCTAAAAGCTAACTGGCTGTTAGCTAAGGCTGAAGAGCAGACTCATTTTATCTCTCTTTCTAAATGGTCTCAGTGCCAACAGATGGGACAGAACACCACACCGAGGAGGTGTGTGGGTTTCATACTTCCCCTAGCTAAGGAAGCACTTCCCGAGCTTCAGAGACTTCCCAGTTGAAATCCCTGGTCATCGGTGGGCAGGATCGAACCTGGGGCATCTGGAGCTTAATGGATGAGCCTCTACAGCATGAGCTAAAAGCCAACTGGCTGTTAACTAAGGCTGTAGAGCAGACTTATTAACTGCTCTCTAAGTGGCCTCGGTGCCACTAGATGAGACAGAACACCACGCCCAAGAGGTGTGTGGGTTACATGTACACATACACACACACACACACACACTCTCTCTCAGGAGTGCATAACATTCTGTGTAGCACAAACAAACCCAAAAGGGTTCTAAACAGCAGTTTATTCATTGTGGGTTAAATTCACGCCTGCACAGCCACCCAGCAGAAAGGTGATGTCCTTCAAGGACTGAAGTCCTGCAATGAGGCAAACACTCATGCCTTATCTGCACTGGAGTTCCACTGACACTGCTAGTGGAAAGTAAATCTACCTGCAAAGAGAGCGCGTGCTGCTCTGCCCCAAGTGAGCAAGGTACTTAAGTACGTGTGCTTAAGTCCATCCCTATATAGCAAAGCTTTGGAGTATAAATTGTTGCTAAACTAGGGCTTTAGAATTAGATTTTCAAAGAAGCCTAGTGGCTCTTTGAAAATCCCAGATCTAATGCAACAAAGGCTCAAAAAAGCAAGTTCAGACAAAACTCAATCTCCAAACTAAGAATACACATGAACCACCACAGTTATAACAGGGAAACATGTAATCAATCACTGAGCAACTAACTTCAAATGTTCTCCAATGTATTTTCTGAACACCTTACACTAGCAAAATCCATTCATGTTTTTGATTCATCTACCTAGTGAGATGGTGTTTTGACAGCACTTACACAATTTGTTAATTATTAAAGCAGCTGTGTCAGTAAGAATATTAAATTATTTTCCAAGAGCCTTGGATAATCTATTCTTGTATTTGTACAGTTCAGTCATTGTTTCGTTTCCATAGTTTGAAAATGACTTGATATAAAATTAATTCCGTGTTCTATCAGGACCAAATTCACTTTACCATACATGTTTCAACTCTGTCAAGCAAAAACAATACCTGTCTTTGTCTAGTCCAATGGATTTTTTATGTTGTCACTAGCTATTTTAGACAGCGAAATAAAGGACTATGACTTAAGCATCTAAAGTACTTGTTAAGCTGATTCAAACTGAAATATCAGATTTCACATGAAAATGGTACATCTTTGGATCTATTCTTTCCTAAGGAGTTTTATACCCAACTGGGGAGACGAGCCCTCCTTTTCCTCCAGATGCTTCTTAATCCTAAATGTGCTTTTGTTTTAAAAAAAAATAAAGGAAAAAAATAAAACTATATTGTGGAGTTTGTTTTATCCATTGATTGTCCAGTACAAACTGGACAAGTTTGTTAACAATGCACTGTGTTCCATAATATAAGCCCTCACAAATGCATCACTGGACAAATACTGAGAATACTAAATATAGACACATACATCCCGAACGTGTGGAAGTAATATTCATGGGCCAGATTCCGACACCATTTACGGAGTAAGGTGCATCTCATCAAGAGAATGGACAAGAATCTGATCCCATGTGAAGAACTACACAGCCACGGGGTGAATGAATATGTGTACCTTTGATTGCTTTCCCTGCCCTTGGCAAACTGGCCATCTCCCCCAGCATCACCCCACCGAACAGCTTCAAACAGCTGCCATTTTTTTTTCTTTAAATTGACCTGCCACAGGCACATTTCCACTCCCCAATGTAATACTGCACTCAATAAAGTTAACCTCAGTGAACACTGGATGGGCAAGATTCAGTATGGGACCAGCAACAGCTTTCCTAGGCATAATGTCACACATGTAAAGTCCAATATCTTCTGACCCTGCAGGGCATGTGGCCACAGGTTGGCCACTCCTGAATTAGATGCTTGGGGTGTTAATAGTAGTATTGCACATTAAGTAGAAAGCTCTTTTTTTTGTTATGAAAGAAGCACCCCCCTCAAAGAAGGAATCATGTGAACTGCACTTGAAGGCACTTTTTGGATTTAGAAACAAGATTAAAATGGTTTCCTCGTAAAATCCCAATCTTTACAAGACCTGAGAATTCAATCTCTGGTCACAAGGGAACCAGTAGTTGAAAAATTGTATTATTAGAAGTTCCAAGTGAGGTTGGATTGAATATGCTTAGCAAGCTTTAGACAGTTTTGTAGATAGCCCTACAGCAACTGGTATGCAATGCTTTTTCTAAGCATTGCTAAAGTGGATTTCAGAGATTCTTTAGCACAATCCATGCTTTGGATGCTTGGGTTCCACAGTAAAAAAAAAAAAAAAAAAAAAAGGAATAACAATTTTTCAAGGACAACAGTGAAGAAATGGTTTAGTCAGCACCCAGTATGACTTTACAAACTCTTTATATCAGCTAGCGAAGAGCAATGATTGCCACTACCACAGTGGTATCCAGTGATCAGAAGGTGCATACATGTAATTGATCACAATGCTGTTTGTGTGCTACATTATATAGGGCAGGCCCCTGTGCAGTGAGGCCATGCAAAGAGTGAAGGTGGCAAAATAGGATGGCTTTCCCCTCCCTCCATAAACAGCTGCATGGCCAATGGGGATGAAGCAAGGAGAGAGTGAATAGCCCTGCTCTGCAGAGAACTCATAGTGCAACCAATTAATCCGATAAAAATAAGACAGTAGCAATTCCCACTGCTCCCTCAGTAACTCCTCCAGAGAGTCAGAATGCAGACCATGACCAGCAGCCCAAGCAGCAAGGCTCCAAGTCCTGCTGCACACTCCTCGCTGGGAGGTCAGGGAGAACAGATTGGTGAGATGCACAAAGGATGATCCCCTTGGTTTAGTTAGGCAGGACCCACAGGGTTGGTGGTCCAGATCCTCAGTTCACCGCTACCTATTCAGATCCAGCTCTCCATCTATTCTACGTTTGCGGTGGTCCTGCACACCCTCTATCTGGCCTCTGTAGCTTTAGTGAAGCCACATAGTTTCTGTATTAATTTGTTCCCCTCCATACACTTGTTCAAAGGAAGGAGCACGTGGACTGCTGTATGAAAAGTGTGAGAAAGTATGACCTGGTCTACATGTCTGTTTCCATCTTGGCTTGGCCAAAATGAGGTTGGGTTTGGCCAAATGAGGTTGCTTGAAAAAACACACAGAGGCTCTTCATATCAGCAAAAGCAATGATAATATAAGTCTAAAGACTACAGGGCTGGATTGTGACTTGGACTACAAGCCCACAGAGGAGAGAAAGGGTAAGAGTAAGGAGGAGTAAGAACCACCCCCTTACACACTGTTGTAGGGCTACCCAGAACTTGTACACAGAAGTTAGCAGGTATTGCTCACCCATTTACTCCCTCCCAAGAAGGACCAGGAGCGGGCTTAATCCCCCCTACTCACTGGCCAATACAGCTGAGGAAGCATGGGAGCTGTTGTAGTTTGTTGCTGGTATAGGCCAGGAGCAAATGACTGCCCTCAACCTCCAAGCAAGCAGGAAAGAGACTGTGACTCAGGAGCGTGTCCAAGGCACAATGCCTCCCCGCAGCTGCTCCTGGGGTGGTACATCTTAGGCTCCACACCTTGCTAAGGGCTGAGCCCAAAGGCAAACAACTAGTCCTTAGAGTAGGTCTACACATTCACTGGGAGGTGTGATTCCCAGCTCAAGTAGGTGTACATAGATAGCTCTGCTCGAGCTAGCACCTAAAAATAACAGTGTAGCCGCAATGGCAGGGGCAGAGGCTGAGGCTAGCCCCCTGAGTACAATCCTACCTGACCCCCTGGGTACGTACTCTGGTGGCAAGCCTGGGCCGCCACCCATGCCACCACAGCCACACTGCTAGTTTGAGGCACTAGCTGGAGCACAGCTCGTGTGTGTACGGAGCTGGGAATCACACATCCCAGCTGCTGTGTAGATGTACCCTTAGAGGTTAATTTTAGGTTACATAATTACTATGATTCAGAGTGGAAGCCCTGTTAGTCTGTATCAGCAAAAACAAGGAGGAGTCCTTGTGGCACCTTAGAGATTAACAGGCCCAGGCTGACCTTTTAGAACCCCCCATTCCTAGGTGGTGAGTCATCCACCACCTGGCTGCTTTTCCAGCAGGTTTAGGTCTCCCCTCTTCCTCCAAGCCAGAAAGCATTGCCCTCTTCTCCCAGACAGCCAGACAAACCCTCCTGCCCCACCCCTCACCCACTTAAAGTGCAGGGCGGTGACTGTCTGGCTATGCCGGAAGCATGACAGGAGACATTAGATATGGGTTTAATCAGGCCTCAACTTTATTATTAGATGTTTGGGACTAATCCGGCAGATAAAATGTGCAGTGCAAGTGAAAACCCCCACAATTCACTGGGGAGGAGGGGAGGAGTGCTTTTTACGGCTCCCCCTCCCCCACCCCTTTCCGTTCATGTCCCTCCAGCAGATCCACTGCCGGGAACCTCCAATTCCAGCCATTCCAGGGGGGGAGCAAAGGGGGAGCCTCCATCACTTTTTCATCCAGGTCCCTCCAGCAATTCCCTTGCTGGGACCTTACC